GAAAGGAGAGAGAAGGTTTCATGGAGGCAGTGTTACATGAATTGAGTTTAGTGTTCATTGTCAGATGTAATGTTCTGGGAGAGGTGAGTCCATTCCAGGTACAGAGAGGGGATAATATGAAATAGGCATGGAGCTAGGGGGTGCCAGGCTGATAAGAATACTCTAGTTTGACTAGAATATAAAACACATTATAGGGTAGTAGTATAGAGCTCATCTAGGTGGGAGCTGGATTGTGAAGGCCCCAAATTCTAAAATCAGGGCTATAAGGGAGGAGATAGAGAACCACTGAAGGTTTTATACTAAAGGAATAACCTTATCAGAGTGGTGAAACATGAAGAAGATGACAGACACATGTAAGAGAAATCAGACAAGTGAAAGACCAAGTAGGGAGTGATTAGTACAGGCTCATGTGAGAAGATATAGCCAAGTTTACTAGAAGGAATATGTCATCTTACTATTCATCAGCTTATGAAAGTGAGAATACTGAGAATACATTAGATAAAAGATTCTATAGGAGAAATCATCCACCTCAGAAAAGTAACTAAATATGCCTCTTTAAATACATTTGGTTTTATTCACCCTGGATAGATCATTCACTGAGTTACATCTTAAGGGGAATTAAGAACTTTCATTGAGTGAGACATGAGGCATATAATAAGTATACTGCCAAATTCTATAAATTAACTTGTTTAAAACATCCAAGTGAAATATCTCCAGGATATCAGACTAAAGCAGCAAAAATTAATTCCTCCAATTGATAGACTTCTCTGGGTTACCAAAATATCTGGTTCTTAGGAAATAATGCTTCTCTTAACTAATTCAAAAATCAAATAGATCAGACCTCACTCATAGTAGTTACTAATAAATGTTTAGTAAGTTGGGGAAAGGAAAGTTTTCATTCAATGAAGAAATAAAATCAAAGCAGAAACGATTATCTTTCAAATTTTGCCATTTGTTACCATAATAATAAAAACCTACTAGCCCCATGACCTCTGTGCATGTATGTAGGAGAGAGAAAGAAAGGCACAGAGAGAAACAGAGGGAGACAGACAGAGAGATAGACACACACGCACACAGACACAGAAACAGAGATAGGCAGAAAGAGAGACAGAGACACACACAGAGACAGAGAGGCATAGAGAAACAGAGGCAGAGACAGAGATACAGAAAAAGACATTAGAATCCTAGGCTAGTGCTGGTATAAGTTGGCCCTTTTTATCATCTGGTATAGATTGTTATCATTGAAGAAAAATAAGTCAGGAGAGATTTCTTGATGGCAGAACAGTATGGCGGAAGTGGTCTAATGTTACTGGATGGCTTCTCCTATATTGTGTGTGTACTCAGGGGTAGGGCAGAGTGTCAAGTGCCTGACTGTGTTGCTAGAAGTCTTTGGCATTGAAAACAATGAAACATTTGGTAGCCATGGATATGTCACAAAAGCATCTTTGAACCCCATGCTTAACCACTTGGGTGAGCCTGTGTTAAAGGTCATGAAAATCTGATAGCCACTCCTATACAGTCAAGAGCATTTTACTACATTTCGATTTTTATAAGCTAATCCTTGTATATAGAAAATCTGGGGTGGGTTCAAATTTTGAGTAGGGACATCTCAACTGATAGCATGTGCTACATCTTTTGCTCAATGTACAAATTACATCTTAGAATCATAGGATCAAACCTATACAGGGCCTTAGAGATGATAAAGTATAAATATTTCACTTTACAAAGGAGGAAACTGAGACTCAGAAAGGTCAAATGACTTGCCCAAGGTCACAAAAGTAATAAGTAACAGGGCTAGAATTTGAAGCTAGGTACTTGGAATCCAGTTTTTTACACAACAGAATGGAGTATTGTTATGCTACAATAGAGAGAATTTTAGCAATATTCATTCATCCAAGATATAAATGGCATTTGCTGATCTGCTTTGGTAAGGTAAGCTGCTAACCAGGTGCTCCCTACATTGATGAAATCACAGGTCTGATTTAAATAAAAAAGAAAAGAAAAGCAATTAGCAAGCTGTCTGAATTTTTTTCCCCTTGAAGCAGTCTTAAATTTCTTTAAGCCCTTTGCATCCTTCAAACATTGTGAAAACAGCTGTCAGTAAAGAAAGACATGAGAGATCTTGTGTGGCTGTCCCTGGTCTCCTAAGAAACTTAGAATGTTACTTAGTTGGGTTGACTGCCATTGAATGAAGGAGCTAATTCCATGGAAATATTTCAAGTGATTCAGTGCTCTGTACAACCAGTCCTTTGGTTGTACAGACACAGCCATAAAGCTACCACAGAAACAAAACCAGAAACATTATGTCCACTTTTTACAGGGGAGGCTACCTTCTTGTACTGTTGAGAATCTCTATTGAGATGGTTCAAGTAAGCTGCTTTTTTTTTTGGCAAGGTAATTGGGGTTAAGTGACTTGCCCAGGGTCACACAACTAGTAAGTGTCTATGTCAAGTGTCTGGTCTGAGACCAGATTTGAACTCAGGTCCTTCTGACTCCAGGGCCAGTGCTCTATCCACTGTGCTACCTAGCTGCCCCAGTCCTTTTTTTCTTCTTCTGTGTTTTGTTTTAACATCCACAAGTGCAGACCAAAGACTAAATTATTGCAGAAATAGATTTTTTTAAGGGAAGGAAGGGTGTCAAGGATAAGAGGTCCCATTTCCTAAATTTCTTCTTAATTCTTTACCCCTTGACTTAGTCTGTACTACCAGCTTTAAGGAACATTCTGTGTTCCTTCAGTCACGTACACAGGGGATCTGAAATTTTCTGTTTGATGACATTTTGTCTTGGTTGTTCCTACCTCTCTGCACCATCTGGCTACTTGACAATCTTTGTTTCAGCAGAACAGCTTCACTCCTATCAATAATAAATGCTGGAGGTCCCAGGGCTCTTTGCTGATGAAGCTTAGCACAGAGGCTTCAGCTTCAGAAACATGCCAAATTACTTCTACTCTTTCAACTCCTCAATCAGTTTTTAATCTACTGTTGCAACCAAGTTCAACTCTCAACTACCTGTATTCAGAGTCTCATACTAATCTTTTTCTTCCATGGCAAAGAAATTATTTTTCCATAGAATTTATCATCACAAGCCCTGAACAAGTGAAAACTTCATGTGATTGTCTCATTTAACTATATCAATTATTATCTATTGAACTGGTCTTCACTTTTGCAGGCTAATCTATCTTTTGTGGTTGTATGTAAATACAAGAATATCAAACATTTGTGCATTTAAACTGGCCACAGAAGTGAAGCTAATTATTTGTAAAATAATACAGACGGTCCACTTTTCCTTTAAAAAACATTGAAGCATTTTTAGGGGAGGCATTTGATGTTACTTTTAGCAATATTCTGATACACACTTTCTCCTTTCTAAGAAGTTTGCTGCTACTGTTATCGTTGTTGTTGTTGTTGTTGTTGCCTTGTTTCAGTCATATTGAACTCTTCCTTCTCTCCTCTCTCCCCTTTTCTTTTTGGGTAAGATACTGGAGTGGTTTGCCACTTCCTTCTCCAATTCATTTTACAGATGAGGAAATTAAGACAGAGTTAAGTGACCTGCCCAGAATCATACAGCTAGTAAGTGTTTGAGGCCAGATTTGGACTCAGATCTTCCTTACTCCAGGACTGGCATTACATTCACTGTGCCACCTAGATGCTCTCTAAGAAGTTTAGCTCTGCTAATCCATCCTTGACTTATCTAAAATCATACTTTATAGAGCTTTAAATTTGTAAAACATTATCTCAATTCTTCCTCACAACAACCCAATAAAGCATTGCAAGAAATATTATTCCCATTTTGTGGACGAAGAAACTAAGGCTCAGAGAGGACAAAGTAGATTGAACATAGTGTAAGAGACAGGATTCAAGCTCAAGTGTCTCTTGATAGCAAGTGTGGTATAAGCAATATTTGAATCTTTATCCCAATGCAAGTTAAGTTAGCTTTTCCTTAAAAAGGTATTAAGACATAAATTGAGACTTGGTTGACTCAGGGGACTAAAAGTTTTGATGTTACTTCCTCAGCCCTTAAGTACAAAGTAGCAACAAATAACTCCATGGGCACTCTGATGATTGGCTGGTAGATCATAATGGGTAACTTGGGCAAGAGAGCTTCACTCAGCTAAATTAACTTGATTTCCTCAACATCTATACTTGTTGAATACCCTTTTCCAGCTATGATTAAGTATTTATTTTTTTTGGGGGGGTAGGCAATGGGGTTAAGTGACTTGCCTAGGGTCACACAGCTAGTAAGTGTCAAGTATCTAAGGCTGGATTTGAGCTCAGGTACTCCTGACTCCAGGTCAGTGCTCTATCCACTTCACCATCTAGCTGCCCCAAGAATCCATTTATATAATTTCATTTGAATAAATTCTATGCTATATATCTTGCAGTCACTAACAATCACCTAAATTGATGGAACTCCATTAGTATTAATGCTTAAAATATGGATCCTGAAATCCAATATCCTTTAACACCCAAGATTCAACAACCTTCGCTAGGTACTCTTACAGTGGAAAAATGGACTTTAGAAATTTTTTCAGTCACAAAGATTGAAATAAAAAGTAATTGGAGGGTTTTTCTTAATGAACAAAAAAAATACAATTAACCAGTATTCTAGTTAATTGAGGTTTAAAGAAAACAATTTTACCTCCAGACTACTAAAAAACCCACATTATTATGTTCTCTTAGGGCTATAGAATATACAGAAATATTATATTTCTACTTGTCATTTATTATAAAAAACCTATAATTAGAAGTTACCTGAAAATTTAATAGAAAGTTGATCATCTTGGGTCATGAAACTGATATGTAACTAAACAAAATTTAGATTGATAAAACAATTATTCATTCAGCATTCTTGTTTCCTTTGTGATTTGGTTCCTGGATTTTAGGGAAGGTCCTGGTGCATGGATTTATTTGAAAACCTGTGGAATGGACATATTGATCCTTCTGCCAATGAAATTAGATACGTTGTGGTTTTGGTTAGGATAGACAGGTTACATTTCCTACCTTCATCTCAATTTGTTTGGTGTCTAGATTCTGAAATAGCAGCTTTACTCGAGTTTTCCCATCATCTGAGGATCCCTTCAGCTGAGAGAATTTAAACCTCCAGAGAACATTCTGTAAAGGAATGGCATTAATTAGTAATATGTCATTGAAATTTACTGTCATTTTTAAAAACAATGTAAATAAGTTGAACATGCTATTTAAAGACAAATTCAGGTTTTCACAGATTTATCATGCTATAGCCATAAAAGACAATGATATCAAATATTACATTTACAAAATATTTTATACACAGTATACTTCTAAAGATTTCATTTCTTCCTCACCACACATCCATGAGATAAAGAAACAAATATGTCTCAGTCCACATTTTTCTCTTCTCTGATTGTAACCTTTCTATTCTCCCTTTCCCTCCTTCCTTTCTTCCTTCACTCCCTGTCTTTCTATCTCTGTCTCTCTGTCTCTCTCTTTCTCTGTCTCTCTTCCCCTCTCGCCTTCTCCCCTATCCTTCCCCTTCTCTTCTCTGTCTCTCTCATTGGGTATTGTTTTTATATTGAAAACTTTCAAGAAAATGTCACTTCTTCCCCTGGAAAAATTTTCTCACATAATACCCTGCTATTGCTCCAGTATAGAGGACATGGTCTAGTGGAGGGCAAATAGAATGAAAAATTTTAATCCTGACTGACACCAACTCCATCAGTGGCCTTGGGTAAATCATTTAACCTTAGTTTCCCCTGGACCAAGTTGAAAAATGTAGATAATATTGCTTCTTTGCAATGTTGCAAAAAAAGCTGAGCATTTACCAAAATACTTAAAGATGAAACATACACTATAAATGTTTACTCCTTCAATTTTTTAAAAAGACATAGGAAAAAACTTAATGGTTATATATTTGCTAAAAGGTAGACTTAATTACAGTTTTTAAAATATAATAAATAACCCCCACTGTTGCAAAGTCTAGTACAAAATAGCTGTATTTTATACCAAGTTATGATCATTTTTTACATTAAAAGACTTTATTTTTGGATAACTTTCACATCTTTCCCTTAGTGTCAATGTTTTGGAGGCATGGGCAGGCAATTTAGGTGGTGGATTGGGCATTTTAATTTGACTTGGCACCTTTTGACCTACTTCTTTATAAATCCCCATTAAACTATGGTATTTTAGCATTCTAAACAGTATTGGGGACTTTGTAAAGGTTGTGCTTTATATGCAAAAGTTAAAGAGTGTAGGTTCCACATAAATCACTTTAAATCAAATATCTACTTGTGGAAAAAAAGGAAAAACCTCAAAAAAATACAAATCCCAGATTATTGGAAGGATGACTTCTAAGTCTCCTTCTAGCTCCAAATGTCTAGATTCTATACTATGAATAATAATAAACTCATATTATATAGTTCTTTAAGGCATACAAATTTTTTGTCTCAATATGCTTAGTTAGGTATCATAAGTGATTTTACCCCCACTTTATAGATGACTTGGCCAAGGTCATACAAACTACATTAGGGATTTATTAAATCTTATGTAAATGAGCTCAGCTTTTAGGAGCAACCCCATTAGAGACACTTTCTCACACAACTGTGCACTCAATTTTAGAAAGCATTAATCTAATCTCTTGACAGAATCTTCTTTGCTTACCAAGGCATAATAACTTTAGTCCCCTGGGGAAGACTAAACACACCCTTTAGAGACTTAAAAATGAGTATGAGGTTTGGAATGAACATTCTTTTTCTAGTTTGAGCATGGGCTATTAAGATTGCTTTCCTCTGCTGATTTGTAATATGGATGACTACAGATATCTAATAAAGTCCTTTTTACATATCCTTGCAACTCTACATCATAAGACCCTAAGAAGTCTGGTGATATCTGATGAATAACAACTTTTTTCTAATTGCCTCACTAAATCAATAATGACAATATTAATGTAACCCACAGTTCTTTAAACTGCAGTGATGCTTGGCTTAAGTTTGATTGTGACAAGGGGGTAGACTGAGGGGGGTTCAACGATAGCACTCCCTTTAAAGATACCATTTAAAAAGGTTGAGAACATGAGAGTGGATGTGTGTACCTGGATGTTAAATAACAAAAATAATGTGAGCAACTGACAGTAACTGTAAAGAAATGTCAATGCTGACACAATGTAATAGATAGGATGATCAGGTACTGGCATCTTTGGAGCTACCATGTCAATTTAACATGGATGTAATCATTCTGCTGCCAGGCAACACAAAATAAAAAAGGTCTGCTTATGTAAGTGATGTTACATGCATCATTACAGTTCTAAGAAATGGAGAATAGCCACTGAGAATAATGACTGGTAATTTTCAGGTCAGGCAGTGAGTACATTAGGTGGTTATGGAAGCCAATAAAATATGGTCCTACTGAAACACACTTGTACATGCTGGCTGCCCAGATTCTAATTGTACACTTATTTTATTGGTTAATTCATGTGCTGAGTGATGAGAGATGACTTTATTAGCTTCATGGAAGTATATGCTCAGGTGGGGCATACTGACAATTTACTCACCAGGAAGCAAGGGAAAAGAAATGTTTCCTTTCTAAAAATTCTCACCCTTGAATTGTCCTTTACTAGGGATGGACATTGATGAAAGAGACTCCCTTTCCATTCTACAGAAACACTAAATAACATAGTTATGTTTCAATTTCAATAGAACTGGATTTGGATTTAGACTTGGAACCAAAAGAGCTAACTTACCATTTTGACTCCACTATTCCCTAGTCAGAAACAGCAATTAATTAATGACAATAGCCATAAATCCAAAAGGTCACAAAAAGCTGACATTTTATCATGTTTAATAATAATTCAGGGCAGCTAGATGGCACAGTGGAGCACTAGGCCTGGAGTCAGAAAGATTTGAATTCAAATCTGGCCTGAAAGGCTAACTAGTTGTGTGAGCTTGGATAAATCATATAACTTTTGTTTGATTCAGTTTCCTCTTCTGTAAAATGGGGATAATATCCTTGCAGTGGATCAAATGAGATAGTAGTTGTAAAAATAAAAAAAAAAAACCAAAACCAAAACCAAAAAGCACTTAGCATAGTGCCTGGTACATTTCTGTTGCTATTTAAACATTATATAAATGTTGTTGTTACTATTATTGTTACTACTGCTACCACTACTATGATGACAACTATAACTACTACTACTGCTATTATTTAGTGATCAGACTTCTGGAAATGGGCCTCTTTGCTCTATAGGCTATTCCTTGGATAATATACATGTAGCCTATTGCCAGGCCCTAGTGATTGTAATTCTCTGACTTTGCCTTCAAGAATCCAGGATAATAATACTAATAATACCAGTAATATTTGTATAGCATTTTATGGTTTGCAAAGCTCTTTACACATGTTATCTTTATGTCATGATGAGATATTGGGTTAATATCTTAATAGGTCATTATTATAATTAATGAAAATATCTGTATTAGTGAATGTATAATGAATGCCTAGGCATTTTAAAAGAAATCGATTCAAAGGATGAAATAATACAGAAATGTAAAACAAAATTATATCAATCTTGCAAAGTATATCTGGTGAGAGTTTGGAAACTAAGAATTCAGAAACATGGCTATGGATATTAATATGAAAATTTAGGGAGTTTTAAATATATATAGTAAATAAATTATATAATTTTTTGGAGAAGTTAGGTAGCACAGTGGATAGAGTGCTGGGCCTGGAGTTAGAAAGACTCATCTTTATGAATTCAAATTTAAGCTCAGATACTTCCCAGCTGTGTGACCCTGGGCAAATCACTTGACCCTGTTTGCCTCAGTTTCCTCATCTGTAAAATGAGCTGGAGAAAAAAGTGGCAAACCACTTCAGTATCTTTGCCAAGAAAACCCCAAATGGAGTCATGGAGAGTCAGACATAACTGAAATGACTGAATAATGTATAATTTTAATATATATGTACTATATATACATATATTAATGTAATGATAAGAGGAAGAAGAAAAGGAGAGAAGTAGGAGTGGTTAGTGATACTCCGTTAAGGGGCACTTAAAAGGTTATTGTCTTTTCAGGGCCTCTACCTAGGACAGGTGTGTGGAACTTGAGGCCTCGATGCCACATGTGGCCCTCTAGCTCTTCAAGTGTGGCCTTTTAACTGAATACAAACTTCAGTGACAAAATTCCCCACTGCTGATCTAGGAGATCTTCCTGAGATGTGCTAAGTCTAAATACTATTATCCACTCCTAGAGGGTCATATGTGGACGATGGTACTGCCAACAATAACAGAGCAAGCATTACTAAAGATTATTTTAAAAAGGAAGAAGGAAGCATGAAAGAAAGAATATTTAATCCTAGGCAAGAAGTTGAAGACCTTCGGGGTACAAATAACTTTGTATACTCTCTTTTTGATACATAGAGTTCACTCTATGTGAACTCTACTTCTACTTCTACTCTAATTGTTGGGAATTTCTTATGTAGAGTTAGTCCTAAGTTTCTCTTTTTGTGTTGTAGGTAATGCTGAATGAGTTTAAGATATCCAGAAGGGCAGTCTAAAATGGTACACCTCTAGAGAGGCCTCCAGAAATTTTGGAAGACAGATAGAGAGCTAGAGAGGCAGTGGATGAGAATTTAAGCTAAAAGAGTTAAGGAGCCACATCAGCTAGAAGAGTAGACACCACAGGTAGAAAGAATGAAGAGTTAGAGGATCACTGCAGTCATGAGGATGGACTTCTCAAATAACAGAGAACAACAAAGTGAAATACACACTTGTGTGTGTGCGTGTGTATATATACATATATAGTAAGTATACATACATACATACATTGCTATTCCAATGGACACAGCAACCAACATTAAAGATTACCTCTAGAACTCCTTGCTCTTCTTGATCATATTCATGGAAAGCATCTTGGATAAACTTACAGAATAAAGTGGCTTTGGTACATAGTTTTTCTGGTATATGGAATGATTTCCATTCTTTGTTCAAAAGATTGGTAAATAGGATGTTAAGCAGTATAGGGATATTTACTGTTGCTTACACTGAATATAGGGCAAGGTAAGTGTTGCAGTAGATGGAGCATTGGCCTTGGAATCAGGAAGACTCATCTTCATGAATTCAAATCCAGTTTCAGACACTTACTAGCAATGTGACCCCGGGCAAGTCACAACCCTCTTTCCCTCATCTATAAAATGAGCTGGAGAAGAAAATGACAAACCACTTTAGTATCATTGCCAAGAATATCCCAAAATGGGTTTATGGAGAGTTGGACACAACTGAAATGACTGAACAACACATTGAATATATTTTTCTATTTGGCTAAGTGGTAGAGGATGATCTTGAATATGTTAAGTGGATGCTAAGTACATTCCATTCAACTGGTTTTATATTGAAGCTTTGTAAATACCAATTTGGTCTTCTAGAGGTAATATACTTGAGATAGAAAATAAGCAATGGGCACATAAATCCCCTATTGAATGATAAACAAAGATTTGGAGATTAGAAAGTGCCTGAAAAGAAAATAAATAGATCAGGTTATGAAAGGAGACTTACTATACTCTTTAGGTCTATAGATAGTTAGATCATTATCTGATTTTGCTCTTAAGGATAATCTCATAAGGTCATGTGGAGTTAGGAATGTAAAAAAGTTTTATGAAGCTATAACAGGTCTGGATTCTTTCAATTTTGAAATTTCTAGATTTTTCAAATCCCTTCACATTCAAAGTAAAGTTTTCCTCTATTTTGTTACAAAATCCCAAGAATATAAAGCAGATAGTAGAGCTAGAAGGGAAATTAGGAAATATCTAATCTTACTCTCTCACTTTTTTTATTTATAGATGAGGAAACTGCAGCTCAGGGAGGGATTACACTGAAAAGGAAAGAAAAAAGGTTCAAATATATATCTCTCTGACTCCAAATTCAGTGCTCTTACTATTACATTATGATGCCCTTTATCTTCCAAAATAATATTTATCCATAATTTGTGATAAACTTGGGCCTCATGTTTATCGGTAAGATTACTAGTTATTAATTATCAGAACTTGATCTATTGTATAAAGATTATCCAGAATATTAAAGTAGAAATAGCCTATAGTAGAAATTTTTCTGGAATGTTTAAGACTCCTTAGATAAACACAAACATGTTTTTGGTTGAGATAATATCCCACTAATAGGCATGGAAAATGGAACTCTGTGCAACTTACTGACTAATGCAAAGTAAGTAGATGATCTGTTCTTCATATATGAGTCTCAAGAGAAGTGAGAAAAGAGACCTTGTTATAAAAGTTTAAAAACTGATTGCATTGGTTACTTAATATTCAGAAAAGAATGTTTTAAAGAACTGCATTTGAAAAGGTGCCTGCAAAAGCTAAACTGATTGACAGTTTTCCCACTCCTTCAGATTTGCTAATCCGGTTACCCAGTGCTAAAATATTGCAAAAATGCAAAATAGAGCAATAGGTCAGTGAGATCATATCAAGTGGTTATACACATTACAATAAGTATGAGAATGATATGTAATAGCAGAATGCTACCAAAGGTCAAGTTCTTACTGAGAGGCACCTTGAAAATTATCTAGTCAAACTCTCTTATTTTACAGATGAGGAAACTGAGGCTCATGGAAGGTAAAGTAACTTCCCTGAGGTAATAGAGGTAGTAAGTAGTAGAGCTAGGGTTTGAACTCAGGTCTTCTGATTTCATATGCAATGCTCCATCCACCACAACATATTACTTACTTATATTAAGTTTTCCATACACACTTAAAAACAGGGGTCCATAGACAGATAAATTGATAGATAAATGGACATCTGTTCAATCATTCAATAAACCTTAATTAAGCACCTATTATGTTCCAAGGATGGTGTTAAATAGTAGGAATACAAAAAGAAGCAAAAGATAATCCCTGACCATTCCTCAAAGAGCTTACAATTTAATGCAGGAAATTACAATCTAAGGGTGATTAACGAATGTCAGATTTAAGGAGGTGAAGATATAGGTCCCAAAGATCAGTTTGGACTAGTATGTCAGCAAGAAACTGACTCTGTTTCCTTACTTCAACTATATCAAATAGGAAATGTTATTTTTCCTTGCTAATACTTGGGATTCTCAGGCAATGAGTCTAAAAATGAACATATTTTCTTTCAAAGTACGTTCATTGAATATTAATGGGACCAGACATAGGTAGAAATGTATCTGTCAGTAGTTTCTCTGAGTAAGTAAATTCTGTTCACTCAACTCTTTTGTGACATTGCTCACTCAAGCTCAAGACCAGAGGCAGAGGTGTAAACATGGCCACATGCAGTCCAAAACACTCCCCAGTGCAGGCTGAACCAGATTAAAATGTAATTGGGAAATACTTATCGAAATAAATAAAAACACAATTAAATAGATAATATTACATTTTAAAACTGAGTCAATATGCAGCCACCAGAGATCCTTATGTATGGATTTGTGGCCCCATATCCATTTGAGTTTGACAACTGGGTTAGACCTTGAAAAATTCCCTTGATATTCATCTATCAGAGAGAACTGTATTCTATGTCATCAAGTGTGGTGCATACATAAAACTATATTGATTAATATTTTAAATGTGTTATCTTGACTCCCTTAACCCCAAATCATGCATTAGTTTGATAAGGAAACTTCAACTATTATTTAAACAAGTGTTCCAATTCAAGAACTGGTTATTAAAAATTAGAATTATATATATATATGTATATAATATATGTATACATATTTATATTTAAAATATTGAACTCCTTGACATCTTACCTTTGTTTTACTGTCAAAACAGGTGAATCCCAAGGCAAAATCCACTGTGAAGCACAGTGCTTCTCCTTGCCAGCTGCACATGTATGTTTTGGACTAGAAAAAAAGTATTAATTTTGAGAAAATATGATTTAGAAACCATTATTCATTCTAATCTAATGACACAATTCCAAACTTCAGTTCTAAAAGTAAACAAAGAAAGCAATGACATACAAACTAACATCCCATGAGGAGATAAAAGGAAAACCTAGCTCACGCACAAAGACAGAAATATTGGGAGTCCATTTGGTTGAAGCTTGTATTTTTGACTCTAGGCCAAATAACTCCTAGTATTTGAAATCTGCACAGGCTTTTATGATGCCCCTTGTGACTTAGACACACAACAAAACAGTCTGACCAAAAGCTGAGCCTTTCACCTTAGGTGTCAATGAGTGACTCTGGAGTTTGCAACTAAAGGGATACTTGCAAACCTACAAGCAAGTACCTCAGGGAGTCATGGGCACAGGAAAGGCAGGTTGCAAACAATCTGCCGCAGGGCCTGGCTGCAGGTACATCCATAGATCAGCTGTCAATCGGCCTGAAAACAGTCTGACTAATGATGTATATAAATTCAGGTCAGAGTTTTTTCAAAGCTGAGTGATTCTCATCATCCCTTTCCCAACCCTGTGGGATGGGCAAATTATAGAAAGGTAACTTTTTTGGTTATAGAACAAGGAATTCAGGGAAGATCTGGTACCCTAAAAATTTTGCCCCTGCCATATTCACGTTCATTTCAATCCAGATCTTGTGAATGTTTCCCTTTGAGCTAGAACCTTAGTCACTGATGAGGAATGGAAGGATGGAGGGAGGAAGAGACAGACAGACAGACAGACAGATAGATAGATAGATAGATAGATAGATACAAAAAGAGAGACAGAGATAGAGAGAGAGAGGGAGAGAGAGAGAGAGAGAGAGAGAGAGAGAGAGAGAGAGAGAGAGAGAGAGAGAGAGAGAGAGAGAGAGAGGAATGCTTAAGAAACCCTAAAGGGCAGTTGCAGGTAAAAAAGCCCCACACTGTTCTAGATAGATACACATCTCACAGAAGGACTTTGAAGTACTAGAAGTCCTTAATAATGACAGCTCCAAAGAAGCAATGTATCACATTGAGACACCCCTCCACACAACCTAGATTGCTTAGTGTTATTTGCTTACTGATGTAAATATGTGAAAACTGGCTTTATTTTCCACATGACTGCCAATGAACCATTCTGAGTATTGAGGTAACTTGCTACTGACTACAATTCAATTTCTCTGTGTACTGTAGTGTCTATGAAAATTAATCTTGGTATAGAATGTCAGGGAATTCCTTGAGGGCATGGAACTTGAAGTGAGAATGTCCTAGGGAGCTTTATTTTACCTCTTCTTAGGATGCATGGTGGGAGAGATAGTATTAACAGGTTTCATGAAACAGACTCCCTCAGTTCTTACTTTGCTCACTAGTCTTCCCTAAAAGTCAGGGATAGGTTGATTGCCATATGATAAAACAAAAATGAGGTCCATGCTGAAGTTGCCACCAGTCAATGGAGTCGCTTCCATGCAGGCTATCATTTACCACTGAGATCTATGGACTTGTTCATGTTACAAATACCACACATCTTGGTGATGCTCAGCTTACCAAAGGTATAGAAGTGCTATAAAAAAGAGTACCACTAGAAGTGTTTTCCAAACATGGAAACAATATGCACAATGACACAATATATATGAAAAGAACAACAATAGCAAAACAAAAAACAACAATATTAGAACACTGTGTGGTTATAATGACCAAGTTTATCCTTAGAGAAGAATTGAGAAAATGCATCTCCCTTTTCTCTTTATAGAGGTGAGAGACTATGAATGTGAAATATTGCATGCATTGTCTTAAATAATTGATATGTTGATTGGTTTTGCTGAGTTGCTTCTCCTCTCTTCTTTCCCTCCCTCCCTCCTTTCCTTCCTCCCTTCCTTCCTTCCTCCCTTCCTTCTTGTCTTCCTCCCTTTCTTCTATCCTTCTTTCTTGCCTTCCTTCCTGCCTTCCTTCCTTCCTGCTTTCCTGCCTTCCTTCTTGCCTTTCTCCTTGTTTTTCTTTTCTTCTTTTATGGACGTGAGCCATGATGTATGAAACTTAGATGGGCAAAATTGTGAGAAGAGTTCACCATTCATAAATGTATTTCCAATACTCTTTGAAAGTCCATGAGTATGCAAAATTAAAAGATCAGGCCTGACTCTAAAGAAGACCTAGGAGATGACACTCCCCACCCATTACTTTACCGAGGTAAGTGGTTCACAGGTATTACACATTGCACGTTTTCAGACTTTGCAATGTATTAAGAAGTCCTGCTGGTTTTTCCCCCTCTTCATTTTCTTTTGTTTTTCTTTTTCTTAAAAAAAAAAGACTATTGTAAGGCTTAACTCTCTGGAAGGGGATGGGAGAGATACTGGGAAATACTATGATGATACAAAAAGAAAAAAAAGATTTCAAAATAAAATAACTACAAAATGCAAAAAAAAAAGGACATGAGAATTGAAATTCTTACATCATAAGATCTAGAAACACTAAATAGCTAGGATATCAACAAGGAGGGAATAAAAATATTCCTAAATTAACCACAATTTTTTATACTGATTCAGTAACTGGCATTCATTACCCATTAAAGTCTGGCTCAATTTAATATTTCAAATGATGTGGGCTGATAACAAATCACAGTTATTGTTATTCAGTAATAATAGCTCATCTATGCTCTTATATAGAGGGGGACAAGAGAAAGCTTATGGTGAAAGGTTGTACATCACACATAGTCAAATTTGCATAATCTCTAAAGAGATTTAGGATGGAGAGAGAAGACAAGAATAGGCTTTAGTTTACAGGATCTCTGCTACACAAAATCCCATTTTCTGCCCTGACTCAATCAATACATTCTCAAGAACAGATAGTACTTCATCATTTGTATTTTTAGAATTTGGTCTAAGTATTTATATCTGTTTTATGTCTTGTGTTGTTCAGTGTTTTACTATTACAGTTACTATATAGTCATACTATAAATGTTGATATTTATTAAAATATACTTTCTTCCCAGGTCAGAGTTTCTTCAGCAAACACATGAAGTAATGAAATCATTTCTACCCTCCTATTAAATAGGCTCCCCTCATATTCTTCCAGAGCCTTAAATTTACAGATACCTTCCAAACTCTGTTTTCTGATTTTTTTTTTGTTTGCCTATTGTACATGTGATGCTTTTGTGTATTTTGTACACAGTTTGTTGAAATATAGAAAAAAAAACTTTTAGGATTTTGTTTTCTTCTGAAAATCAGTTAAAATATGTAAAGTAAAAATTGCTGAGAATTATTTGGATGTTTTCCCAGATGTCAAGAACTCATAATCATTCTTTCAGAGTAGTAATCAATTTTATAAGATTTTAATTGGATGTAAAATATTAAAAAAAAGTTGAATGAATATCAAGAGCAAAAACAAGTATTGAATGATTATGTATTAATTTGTTCACAAACCCAACATAATGTATTGGAAAGAAAAAAAATTAGGCACACAAATGAAAGTATATGTATATATATATATATATATATATATATATACACACACATATGTATACACATACACACCCACCCACATATACATACATACATATATACACATACACATATATGTGTGTTTATATATATACCACATACATGAATCTGAATATAGATAGGGAATCCCAAAAGTCTTAGTAAAGTTTTAAGCTTAAATAGTTTAAATATATTTTTCCTGTTTTTTTTTTTAATTTCAAGACAGTTTGAAAAATTCAAGCAATTCATAATTAATAAATTTACCTGACCTGGGAGGTGAAAGCTTAGGGACTGGAGTATCTTAAAGGACATGCTAAATAATTCACTGTAACCAGTACCAACTCTAAATGAAAGAGTGAAGCAAAAGAAGTCTGTTTTTAATGACCCCCCCATTGATTTTGTGGTACCTTCTCATCTGTTGGTCTAATGTCCTCCTACCTCTTGCCCATTACTCATGGCCCAAGGATTTGTAATTTCCACATGTGGGTATACCCTTCACCAATGAAAATCATGGACCATTCACATTTTAATTGATACTTTTATGAATATTCATGGCTGAAAATTTCAGGTCCCTGTCACCAATTTCATGATAAGCCTCTCCCAGTATTTCTAGGATAGTCTTCAGGCAGCAGACATATGAATACATAAGTGGGCCTGTACTTCAAACTTTGTGTGTGTGTGTGTGTGTGTGTGTGTGTGTGTGTGTTTAGGCAACTGGGATTAAGTAACTTGCCCAGGGTCACACAGCTAGTAAGTTTCAAGTGTTTGGTCTGAGGCCGGATTTGAACTCAGGTCCTCCTGACTTTAGGGCTGATGCTCTTCCTACTCCACCACCTAGCTGCCCCCTGTACTTCAAACTTTTGTATCACATCACATTGATTTATTGATTTCCAATCAATTAATAAACAATCCAAATAACAATCAATGTTATGAAGCACCTACCATATGCTCGTCACAGTGTTAAGGAGTCTATATTAAAAGAATGGAATAATTTCTACTTATAAGGAACTTAAGTTCTAATGGGGAAACAAGTACATATAAAAGTTGTTTTTCATCCTTCACTCTTGAAGAGGACCAATGACATCAAGAGAGTGATGTCTTCATGTGCAAGTGAATTTGATTTAAGTGAGGCAGAACTGTGCAAAATCATCAGCCTAACTATCTCCTCCAAAATGCATGATAAGAGTATGAACTAAAGTCTTAGCTGCTTAAGTAGATGGAAGGGGTCACATTTTTAGAGATGGGATGAAGTTAGACCCACAAGATTTGAAAAATGATTAAATATTCAGGGAAAGAGAAAGAGAGAAGAGCTGGAGATGATGTTGGGATTACAAGATTAAGAACCTGAAATAATAGAGGAATGGTGATACCATTTAAAAAATAAAGAAGTCTGGAAAAGGAATGGATTGAGTGAAATGTTTTTAAAAAATCTGTTTTGGATGTGTTGCATTTGAGATGGCTCTGGGTCAACCAGTTTGAAATATACAAGAAATTGGTGATTCAGGACCAAATCT